TGCAAGTGGCCGGTTCTAATAGCTCCATCCAGCGGTCCCTTCATCCAGCTACTTGGGGTCTTCTCTGCAGCCAGCGCCTCCTGGCAGGCTGATTAGGATGCCGTTCCCTTGGGGACCGTGGGTCTGGCAGGGACCAAACTGGCTGCGGTAGTGGCAGAGGCAGGCGCTTTGTGGCACCTGTGCTCCCGACAACCCGAATGCCAGCCGCTACAGCGGGGCCCCGTCAGAGCGTCTATGGGGCAGAGCCCTGGAGCTTGTGCTGAGCGTCTGTCCATGCACTTGACCGGGGTCGAGCCCTTCATGGAGGGTGCGTCTGGCCCTCTGCAGGCATCCTGTAGTCCTCTGTGAAGCCGGTACTTCTCTTGTTCCAAGTGTCTCTGCAGTAAGCTAGAGAGGGTGACAGGGGCTTAAAGCCCGGCCCAGGGTACAAGCCTGCTGGGCTGAGAGCTCAGAGGGTCAGGCCGGGTGGGGCAAGGGGAGCCGAGGGCATCCCTGTGTTGGGAGACAGCAGGGATTCTTGATGTCTTCACAGCAAGGACGCCTACACAGGCTGAGAATTCTGTTGCATAGCAAAGGAATCTGGCCCACTCTCTAAAATGTTTGTTGAGTTTGAGCAAGAATAACCTTTAAGATCATTATGATCGCAAAAGGGGGAGGACTGCCAGAGAACACTGGCGAGAGACTTGGCGGCGGACAGACGCGCAGATCCCTGGGTATCTCCGCTAGCAGCCTCAGGGTTACCTGTTCTCTTCACTGTTCTTGAGCCGTTTCTGCAACTCTAGATGACAGAAAACTCGTAGTGAGGCAGGTGATGCTTGTCCTTGGAAATGCCCGTAAGTCGTGTCCCGGTTGTAAGCGGTCTTTGCAGTCACTGGTTGCTGCTCTGTAGCTGTTGGCCGGCTTTGCATCTGCTTGTGGATTCACGCTAGCATTCCTGACAATCAATGCGTGTGTGTGGTTTGAATTCTCTCTTGATACATTGTAACGTCTTACTGGTTCTTTCATGAATTAATGGCAACTCAAGTCTTCGACGTGTATTTATTTTATATTTGGATGAGAGTCATGATTTTACCTTTTCAAAAATCTTTCCTTTAACACAAGTGAATTGGCATCATATAGTGTTAGAAGCGCACATCCTCCTCTAATACAGGTTTCCATGGTAACCCCAATATTTGGGAGAGGCCATCTCTGTGTCTCAAACTAGTTCTCAAACTGAGCCTTTCCTCGTTTCTATGAGTTTAACTAAGACGTTTTGCTGCTAAAGTAGAATGATCTTAGTCTTTTACCACTTAGAAAAGGTATGTCTTTTTCCCATTAATTTTTTAAAAATCTTAATACGTGTCTCCTGGTAAGTACTCACAGCTAGCAAGCACACTTGTATGAAAAAATCGGAGTATTTCATCTTATCTAGTTCTACTGTTGGTTTTTAATAAGTACGAGTGTTCATAGTGGTGGTTTTGCATTAAACCTTGTAATATATAAATTGAATTAAAGGAGGAAAAACCTTGGTAACTTTTTATGATTAAAGTTAGGTAAGCTCATTAATTTAAAAAAAACGTAGAAATTATTTAGGGCACCTAGAACAAAAATACTCCCTGCAGTCCGTCATGTGTGGAAAGCCCGCCCACCGGCGCGGTCCGTCTGCCCCACCGGCGCGGTCCGTCTGCCCCACCGCCGCCAGGGCTCGGCTCCGTCGCGTAATCCTTCCGCCCTGTCAAGCCCCCCCCCCCCGCTTCTGTCTCGGAGAATCACCCCACCTGCCCGACTCCCGTCCACGCCAGCCCCTCCTCTCGCTGAAGCCGTGTCATCACCCTCCGAAGGACACACCACTTCGCAGCCCTCACCTGCTGGACGCCTCTGCCCCTCCTGCGCTCTCGTCACCCTCCCTCGGCTTGACTTCTGTCTCCCTCCCCATCCTCATCTCCCAGTTTTCTCTGGCGCGCCGTTTTCTGGCTCATCTGACTTCATTTCCAGTCCCCCCTCAAAGTGTTGGTTCGCCTTCCTCGGGACACCGGGCTCCTCGCCCCGCGGCTCCCGGGGCCCACCTCCCGCCGGGCTGCAGCCCCGGGCGTGT